CCCCAAAACCCCAAAACCCCAAAACCCCAAAACCCCAAAACCCCAAAACCCCAAACTACAACTTCGAGATTGAAAAATCCGTTATTAACTTTATCAAATGTCCAAGAGGCTCTTTAGCCTCTTTTTCAGACCGGAAGGAAATTATTTCACAGGATCGACAGAGCCTGAATGGTACTCCTTGACTACCTCCTTGACAATCTCTAGAGAAATATCTTGTAAGGGACCTACCTTCATTCCTATATTAATGGTTATGAGGATTCATGCAGAAATTAGAATTTACCCGCCTTGAGGCTGAAAAGTAGACTTACATTGCTATTTCTCTGAATTTATAAGCAATCAGCATATCTAGAGCTTTGCCGTGGGCAAAGTCTAGATCCCTAAAGATTTTAAGCATCTTTAGGAATTCATCATGTGCGAAATTTTCCATCTCAAGTGCTCTATTAATTTTCATCAGATCTTTATTTTGGTGGTCAGTGTCAGCATTGGCTTTGGAATATATAGTGGAATTGATCTCAGTGTGGTTAAAAATTCTTGATTTAGGGCTATTATAATCGATAAAATCCAAAGATGTACCTAAACTCTTTGCGTCTTTTCTGCCTCTGAAAAGGATTACCGCTCTTCAAGCGCTCTTTTTTGGTGCTGCTCTTAGTGTCCTGGACGAGAATCTTGCCTGGCCCTTGACCAGGCTTCCCATTATCCACAGAGAGAATCAGCCGCCTAAGGAGAATTGAAGGGAGATTTACTTATTGCGAGGAATTCGAGAACGACGATTTTGCTTCGCAGAGGAGACTATATGAAATAAGAAGAATCTAAAGTACCTTTTTCTGCCAAGAAACGGTTTCTAGTGCCATTAGTACTACTTTGTGGGCTATTTTGTGAACTTTGAAGGCGCTTTAGAACTAGAAAGGGTCAGTTGAAGTCGGGTAGATGGAATTTTTATGTAAGTTGTCTAAAAAAAAGAAGAATTTTGAGACTTATAATGCACATTTATTTTCATCTATACTCAAGTAAACTGTTATTCAAATTCTTTCTCATCACTCTCATTCAAAAACTCAATTGATCACTCACGTAGATGCCTTAGAACTTGCTAAAGAAAATGCCTAAATCTTATACCAAAATATTACTTTGCTTGAAATCTGAGCATTAAGGTATCTTGGAACCGGTGTTTTCTTGTTCATCCGAGAGGCCTTTCTTATTTTCCTAACAACATTTTCTGCATAAATCGTGCTTCTTCTTTGTAGATGATTATTATAATCCATTGAAGAGCCTTTGCTAAACGATCAAATTAATACATGAGAATGTGCCCAAAGATAAAGAAACACAGATCAAAATTTAGTAGCGGCTAAAGTCTTGAAGTTTGAGTTATTTAGTACTTCTTGCACTTCCTAATAGGTATTTTACGCTTTGAATTGTACAATTCTTACAACGTTTCATTCCAGTTATTTGGAAAAATCGTGGTGACGATATCTACCAATGCTTCCATCACCAAATCTCGCGGCATAATCCTCGATCACTTTTGAAAGTTTAGGTACGGTGTCCTTCTTCCTCTTATTAGCTTTAGAGTACTTCTTCTTAAGCTCAGTGATGATGGACTTTGACTGGTATTTACCGTACCTCATACGCCTCATTTCAAAAATATTATCATATTCCTTAACGAACCTCATATTTTTCTTCTTGAAATCAATAAACGCATTAGGGCTTTCTCAAAGCTTGCTGAGCTTCCAGGTGAAAGGAGAGGGGTAACTCTTACAGTACTTATTGATAAAGTCTTCTATGTTGTCCTCTTCTTCCCTCTCCTTGGACCTGTCGAGGCTATGATGAGTGTCACCCTCTCCTTTGGTGTTGGACTGGGATGACTATGGGTTGTAAATAAAATTACCTTAACTTCTTCGTCAGCCTTAATCCAATCTTTACTTCTTTCATCAGTAGAGATTTTAGTCATGCTCTCCTTTGTTTCATTAGCCTTAAGATCTCGCACAGGTGAGATTTCAGGAGAGAGCTGTGTAGCATACTGCTTTGTGTGGGGCAAGCCAAGGATCCTCCTTGGCACGTATTTAGGAGCCTCCTCTCCTACCATTACTGAATTGAAATCCTGTGCTCCTCCAACTTCATTTCTGGACTGGTTCGAAATTTCAAGGTAAACTTCATTCCACTTTTTCTTGTGTCCTAGCTAAGAAAATTGAGCTTATTTCTCAAGGAAACTTACATAATTTTTCGATCTGAGGAGTTCCTCCATATGCTTCTTTAAGTTTCTATTGACTTTAGCCATCCTAGTTGACCCAAGCTCAGTCATAATTTTTATTTCAATTATTGTTATAGTTGAAGGGGTTTTGGGGTTTTGGGGTTTTGGGG